TTTTCTTTTTGTCATTCGTGTTCCTTTACTAGGATCCATTAAAACTGTTCAATCTGGTTTCTAGTCACTTCACGTACTATTAAAAAGTCGTTTTTTTTCAGAAGAAGTTACCAATCAAAATAGAAAATCGAAACTAATCAAAAGTATATTTCTTTCCATAGTCAGAATACCTTTCGGCGAAAATATAATTTAAATTAGTACTTTATTAAAATATTGCCACTACCCCTCCCCAGTCTCATTCTCTAGATGCGCGACTGCGTTATACAGGGTGAGTCTTAAATAAGAGCAAATATTTTTAGGAGTGAAGATGTTGAAAATCGTGCATTTTCTTTTAAATTTCCCCGTATATTTTTCGAAAACTTTTTAGTGCTTGTTCACCGCAAATTTTCCCATGGTATAATTTCTTAATCCCTGATATTACCATAGTTACGGCTTTACTCTATAGTTACGGCAATAAAAGGGATGCAAATACAGAAAAAAATCCGATGGCTGTCAAAATTTTCTCAAAAAAATCAATTTTTTAAAAAATTTTAAACTTAAATAACTGGGTTATTTTGGACTTATCTGAAAAATGGCAAAGAGAAAATATGTTTGTTTAATCGAGATCTACCAGCCCTGAAAATATTTGCACTTATTTAAGACACACCCTGTATAATATAATATTAGCTATTAAAAAATTGAGCAATGTTATTGTTTTGAAAAAAGTTTAAAAAATGTTGAAATTTATCACATATAATTTATTATTCATAATATTATTTAAAGTTGTTAATTATGACGCATCATTTTATTGTAATGAATTATAGGCCAGTCGGACAGACCGTTATGTTTTTTATTTGTCATAATACCTCGAGATTAAACAGTTTTATCGAATTTTACTTAAATACTGATTAAAATAAAAAAAGAAAGTTCAGAGATTTTAAATATTTAACCTTTATTTGTTCTTATAATCGACGCGTGAACTTAATAAGTGATAATTACCTCTTATAGAACAAAATAAATACTTAAAGTTTGTTAACAGCACATTTAAATAAATGGGCACATAATGGGCATATAAAGGGCTTGTCTTTTATATTATGCATATAGAGATAGAAAAAACAGTAGATAACTTTTAAACACTATTGTTTTTAAAGAAAGTATGTAGATATTCTCCACGAATCGATATATATATATTAATTTTTCGGGATTCTTAATTCGGATTAGTCGGGACTGTACGGAGAATGGTCCAACAGTTCGATGTTCTCTTGCTTTAAAAACCCAATTATTGTTTTTCGAGCTGTGTGGGAACTTGCACTGTCTTGGTGGAAGATCATTCGTTGAGGGTTAGTTTTTCGAAACTCATCATTACTTTCGGCTAACTAAATAGATATGTATCAATCAGCAGTAACTATCCTTTGATCTTGCAGAGGAATTGTCGCTACATGGCCCGCTTTTGAGACAAATGGCGCCACCATCTTTTTGGAAACACTTCGAGAACGGATACCTTTCGTCGGTTTTGGGTTTTGGTTGATCTTAAGAGTAAATATAGGATTTATCACCACTGGCAATACTCTATATATTTTTTGAGTTTCCTGTGTTAAACTGGTGTAGAGTTTTTTGGCACCAATTGACTCAAATTGCTTTCTGTTCTTCCGTTAACTGATGCGGTATGCAAGGAGATACTTCTTCGTGTAAAAATTTTGAATTGAAATTTCTGAAATATTCAATGATGCTTCAGTTTCATGGTATGTGACATGTCGATCTTCTTGGATCAACTTACGTACAGCATTGACGTTTACCATAACTGCTGTTGTTGGTGGACCTGTTCTTGGATCGTCGCTAAGACTAATCCGTCCACGTTCACATTCTCCATACAAATGAGAAATTGTCGAATGATATAGTGTTTCATTATCCAAAAAAAACACATTATCTAAATTCTTCATTTCGAATCCATTATCTAAAAAACAAACAAAAACCAACTCGGCAAGGCATTCTTGTTGAGAGAAATCTTCAAAAATTGTAAAAAATTATTGCGCCAAAATTCCATTTTTTGACTAACTCGTCAACTTCAAAAATTCAGGTATAGCATGGGTATAGCTCATGGTATAGCTTTAAACGTAGTTTTAGACGTATTTGGATGACAGATAATTTTGACATTTGATATGATTGTTGACAGGCACCTACTCTGTTTCTACACTCAGATGCAAAAAAACGCAACGGAGAAATTTTTGTTAATTTTTTTTTAAAGTGTTATATTTTTGTTATTTTCATAATGTTTTTAGCAGGCTGTAGATAATTATGTCAACTTCAATTCGTAAACTCAGTTTTTATAAACTTCAGTATTTAGCATATTATACAGGGTTAATCAAGGGGTTGTTTTTTACACTAACTTTAAAACACCCTGTGCAATAATTTCGTGTGTAAATTTTCCTAAAATATAATTGTACGGTCAGAACTATGTCTTTTAAGCATTTCATTTTTTGGATCATGTCAATACAAGCCTTCGTTAATTTTTAAGAGCGAAATGAGCTTGCCACCAACAATTTGCAATTTTTTAAATTATTACCATTTCTTTTTGAAGTTATTTTTGAATATGACAAGGGGGCTTTGGTGATTATTGTGAACTATATACTAACTTTGAACTGCCCATCATGTTCGACGTTTGGGAAATGCTTGGTAGGAGGATTAGAGGTCGCGAAGCGGTACCAGCTTTATTAAATGAACTTCGCTTTTCGCTTGGTCCTTAAAGAAGAATAAGAAAACATAACGCAATATAATATATGCAGCCTCACAGACAGTATGAACGGACATACACAGGCAGTTATAGCATTCAAGGGAAACAATACAAAGTATTAGGGTATTTTTTACATTTTTTTTTCTGCTTGTATACTTGAGTATTACAAATTTTTTGTTTTCTTCAATATTGTTAAAAAAATGTCTATACCTATGTGGCGGATTCATCTATCCAAAAAAATCCTTTATGGGTATTTCGCTACTGCACTGCAATATTGTTATTATCGTCAATATCGTTATTAAAGTTTATTAAAACTGGACTGAATCTTTAATGCTTTTTTTTTTAATTTAGTATAGAGTATCCAATGCAGCGTAATATGACGTTATGACGATAGTCACAAAAACATCTCGTCATATTAAAAAGTTACATCAAAAAGTAATGATAATTATTGAAAAAATTACAAATTCATGAATCAATAATTATATACAGCTTACTAAAAAAATCATGAAAATAGGGCTAAAAATAACAAAAATATAACACTTTAAATTTGACCAAAATTTTCTCCGTTGCGTTTTTTTTTGCATCTGAGTGCATATGGAAAATATAAAAGACAACTCTCGTATTAATTTAAAGCACAGAAAAGCAAAGCAGCTAAGTCAATACCGAATATTTTTCCTACATAGAGAATATTCAACCGCGACCGCAAATACACGCACTTTTCAGCACGTCGACCGTTGTTTCAGAGGAAATGCTGGAAGTGAAGAGCCGCAGATTCGAAGAAAAATTCGCTGGTTAACATTCACTCTGCGATGCAGCAGATAAAGAGACCGGCAAGTAAACAGTGCTTGATGCCTAGCTAAGCATTTACTTTTTTTCCTTATTACTCTACCTCGAAGACTTCTCAAAGGATTTAGTGGTTGTTTCACAGTAATAAATATTATTTGGTTCTTTATTAAATAACTTCATTAATCAGTTTATAAAAATCTCTCCGTCAATGATTACTATTAAATGAAGATCGCTGTCATTTTATATGTAAAATTATATCCGGAATGTCATTGATCGTCATTTCCAAGCCAACTGGACGCCATTTTTTTCGATCATACGCTACAATATGAATAAAGGGTTTTATGATCAAGCATGCTTTGTATAATAACGTTTTTTTAACTAATAATGCAGCCAAAATAAACCGGAAATGTAATCCCTAACTAATAACCGGAAATGTTATCCCTAACATTTCCGGTTATTTGTTTGTTGTTAAAACGTGGTAAAAAATTACCGGTCATACGTCTTCAAATGCCGGTAATTTCGGTAATTGTTAAAGAAATAAATATGCACTAGGCTAGAAGCCAAATTTGTCAGAACTCCAATCAGAAGAAACTATTAGTTAGCCTCGAATAGTGATGCCTTCATTTCAAACACTCATTACGGTTGCAATAGATTTATTACAATAGTTATTCTTATAATGCAATTAAAATATTCATAATTTTTATTACTGTTTTTAAATTCCTTTAAAAAATATATTATTTAGAGTAAAGTTGCACCGAAAAAATATGGTATAATTTTTAACCACAGCACTGCAACCACTAAAAGTTGGTGTGGAGCAGTTGGTTACAAAAATTCAAACCAGTTAATAAACAGATTTTACTTCAAAATGTAGGATTGCTGAGGTAACAAATCGGAGCACCCCTTTAACTATCGAGTGTCCCGGTCCTTTAATACTTCCATCCTTACATTGACTTCGGAAAAACTATGTTATGTGTAAAAATAAATAATTTGTTATTAATTTAGTTTTCTATCTATATCTGATTATTTTGTTCCATAATTCCATTAATTCAAATTTTAATTCAATTCTTTAATTCAAATTTGTACTCAAATGGAAACTGGTAACGCACTCTGTATAATGTGGGCATAAAAGTCGTTTGAGTACGCTCATTTTCTTTCTCATTCATTTGTTATTCAATTCGCAATAACGGTAATTAAAAAATAAACTTTTGATATATTACAGACGTAAAATAATATAATAAATAAAAATGTCTTTTATATATTTTTTTTTTAAATTTTTATCATTTTATTTTTTCAGCGTTATTTATTTTGTCTATGTGATATGTGATATTTTCTGTATGATATTATAACTCTTCTCACAATATAATAATAATCGTTATTATTTTTAATTACTAATAAAGTGAGACAATAAAAAAATCAGGATTTAACAAAAATAAACATAACAAATCAAAATGTACAATAAAATAATAAAAAAATTAAATAATAAAGAAACCTCGATAGAACTTACTTTTTTATATCCTAATTTAAAAGTCTATATTTTACACTCCAATGCTGATTATCCAATATTAAAAAACATCGACATTTTCATTAAAAAAAAAACACTATCTCAAACTACGAAACATGAGAAGAGCGAGGTCAGTACGGATTCTCTTGAAATTTCTTCGACCGCGACTTGAAATGCACGCACACTCGTCGAAGAAGAAATGTTGGAAGTGAAGACCCGAAGATACGAGGAAAATTGACTGGTTCCCTGCGCGTGTAACTTCGACGGAGACCAAAAATCGAAGCGATTAGTTTTTTGCGGACGACAAAGACATCGACCGAGCGGCTACTTTGATAACTACTGCTCGGACCATTCTTCGGTCTTCCTTCTTCCGCCAGCAGGGGACAGTTTTCGCAATGCCGACCTGCAGGAAAAAACGTTTTTGGTACGTCGATGACACTCGAACCTTTCGTATAAGGAGAAAGTTTTGTTTGGTTAGTTGGTTAGTGACTATATCGAATGTCATTTCGAGTAATGTGAACATTTTCACCTGTATCCTATTATTGTTTCCTGAAAAAAAATACCAGTTGAGTGCAGTTGAATATTGCGGCAAGAGGCTCAATAATTTGTTTTATTTTATGTTGTCAATAAATGTTAGTAGTTCTTAAAATTGTTATAAAAATATGTAATTCTAATAAAAATACCGTATGATCGAAAAAAAACGGTTAGGTTAGGTTAGTTGTCCCATATAATTTTACATATAAAATGACAGCGATCTTCATTTCATAGCCATCGCTGACGCCGTTTTTATTCGATCATACGGTAGATAAGTTATAATAACATAACTATTTAATAACACAAACGTCAGATACGCCTGCGAAGTACGTAAGTCAAACTGTCGTGTGTTAATTATTTTGACAAGTATTAAATAAATGCGAAAATGCAAGAAAACTATACAGGGTGTTTCAAAAAACATGCGCCATTTTTCGTGGGGAGATTCCTCACAGAAAAATAAGATTTATTTTTCATATCAACATAGGTCCGATTCTGCTTTGTTTCGTAGCTACAGGGTGTTGAAATCTTAATAATATTTCGATTTATTATAATTTTCTCCCAAGTAGTTTTTGTGATTCGAATAAAATTTTGAGGGTAAAAGTTACTATAAGTGCTGCATATTTTAATGCCAAAAAAGTGTCGATAAATTTATCAGGGAGGTGCATATGGGTTATCACTAGAATATTTAAAAAAAAAACACGTACGCCACTGACTTTTTTCTTTTGATATCAAAATTCTGTAGGCCGTTTAATGCCAATTAAAAGTTATCTCTTGATATTTTGTCGAATTCGGCCTCCTTGATGAGATAAACCCAATTTTATTAATCACAATTAATAAAATAAAATTAATAAATCATATATTTTACCTAATTTATTATTAAATATTATTACTATTAAGTAGTTATTATTACTATTAGTCCAACCTACCGCAACTTCAAATAAAAAAATAATGGTATTTAAGATAATTACAAAAAACCTATTTTGGCCAAATTTCACTGCCCAATTACGTCACTATTGATCACAGTCTCACAATCCAAATTTGGCCGATTAAACAGTCCTGAATAGTTTACAGTTTTAAAACAAAATTAACCGGTCTAATTTGTCCATAAAATCGTTAGTTTCGCGGCATCAATTTTGACGTCACTGCAATCAAATCCTTGCTGACATGAGATGAAACGAAATGGGAGATGAATATATTGACGTATACAAGTGGAAGTGAGACTCGTATTAAAGCTTTAAAATTTGACGAATGTACGTCTTATTGGATAATTTTAATTTATTGTTCATGGATGGCTATTATTGATGGTTACACAATTCTATACATTTTTATGGTCAAGTTCTGCACAATCAAAAATTTTCTTGTGACAACCCTGACTGTAGGTATTTCCCAAGTATTTCCGCTGGTAAGTGTCGCCATATTGAAAACATTTTTAATCGGGGATTGTTATTGCCAAACATTGGTGTCCAGAAAAGCTTTATTCTAGATATTCTAATTTTTAATAAACTTCTGTATACTACAGAAAATTTCAAAATGAGGAAAGATGAAAAAAAAAACTAATTCCTGAATACCTAATTTCGTTTATTCTAATTTATGATATTTCGTTAACGAATGAGATAAACAATGTAAACGATATAATAACGAATTAGTTCCCCTTATTCAGCATTAAACTGTGATTTTTCTTCTTGAGTTCTTCTCTTAAAAATTATGTGATTCTTCATAAGTCTTGAAAGAGGGGTTATCTGAGAATATTCTTATAGTCACAGCCAGAGGTGCAACTAGGGGGGGCGGGGCAGGGGGGGCTTAGCCCCCCCAGATGACCAGTGCGTGTCGTATAAAATTGGTTTTAACCTCACATGAATCTTATCTTATAGTGACCTAAGCCCCCCCCCCCCAAAAGACTTGAGCCCCCCTAAAAGTATATGTCTAGTTGCGCCCCTGGTCACAGCACTGAATTTTTGACGTAAAATATGTATAATATAATAATATATAAATAAAAAAACGTACTTCATTGCATTCTCTTTTTGTGTGTTGGTATTTCGTATTATTTAATATTTATTTATTTTGGAAAAATGTAATAGTAACAGTTTTTGCAGCTTTAGCAATATAAAGAATTAAATTTGATAAAGGTTAAAAACAAATTAAATTTTATTGATAAATGAAATAAATCCAAGAAATAATTTGAAATCGTCAATAAAAAAAAGTCCAATGGGCATCGGCAATAGGTTTGTTAGGGGTACTAAATCCAGAAATTATGCTAAAATAGTAGGGAGCCCAAGCGGGGATTTTGGGATATATATTTAAGCGCGGCAGAATAACATAAGAGGAACTTTGCACCCTGTTAAGTACTCCAATCCAAACATGAACCTTTTATGCAGGATTGCGTATAGGGCAGCCGATCAGAGTTAAAAAATTGATCGTTAGAAAAACTCGAACGCTAATTACATGCAGTATAAGTGTACATTTTTTAATAATATGAGGAATCACGGGAATAACATAATCTGCCGATTCCTACAAGCCGAAGTAGATAAAATCATCAATAAAGTGTGGTGCTAAGAATTACGTATTTCTAAAAAATCTGCCATGTGTTTTACTGACGTCCAAATCGCCAATCTTTTGAATAGAAGCTTCTTTAGGGTTCACTTAAGGCATATTAAGTCTATATGTATCGTCGCCTATATCTGTAATGTGTTGGAATTGAACGTCTAAAAAGTCAGAGACCACTAGATAACCGGTCCATGTATATTTCAAATAAGTCTTTCTGTTAGGCAGACACTGGCGCAACAGCGCAACTCCAAAATTCCGAATATCGATTAGCCGTTTACTCTGAGGATTAGCCAATGTCGAACGGGAGCGCAAACGAAAGCCGTACGAAGTTGGACGAAGCCGTACGAATGAACAGCTGATGCTAGTGTCTAGTTACTTATTGGTCTAGTTATTCGATCAAAAATCCACGCTTGCGCACTACGCTTGAGCACGCCCAACTGAGCGACTTATGCCAAATTCCTTCAGAAGTTTAAACAACCCATTATACCGCCTCGGCTTCACAGAGTACAGTTTGAAGTCGATATTATGACTTAACGTCCCTTTTGATTATCTAACGGGCTCGTATAATGTTTTTCTTTTCTAATTTTCTACCTCTTTGTATGGCCACCCTAACCATGCATATTGTCAGATTAATATCCCTCCGTTACCAGAAGCACGTGTGGACCGCACGTACTATTATTAAGTGGAACGCCCAAGTATTTATTTGTGACTTTTTTTCATACTTATGAAAACCTGTACACGCTCCCTTTACATTGATAGAGCTACACGCTCCCTTTACATATATACAAACTAATAAACTTATAATTAATTAATTTACTTATGCTTCAAAATACGTTAATTTATCGTTACCGTAAAATAACGTAAAATATTATACAGCGGTAAAACTGTGAAATGGTAACCTGCAGGCCTGCTGTAGGGTTCTGAACTAGGTCAAATAATGAATACGCGGCTAATGACATGATGATCATAATAATACGGTTATTAATTTTTTTTATGGATAAGAATTATTTACCTATTAAAAATTCACATTTTTTGTCATAAGTAAAACATCAATCGTAAATCAAATATAAAGGATTTGTTGAATATTTAAAACCCCTGGTTTTTTTATGTAAAAATAAGACATGAGTGGTATACGAATATGCAACTTTAACACATTCCAAATTTTATGAAAGAACATAGGTTAATGAATACGAAATACCATAATTATAAAGGGTGGGTCTTAAATAAGTGCAAATATTTTAGGGGTAGTATATTTCGACCCCAGAGACAGTCTATGAGGTTTCTTTCGCGAAAAAAAAATTTTGTTCTAATACAGGAAATTTAATAAATTTTGTGTTTATTTATCTATATTGAGAGTGGGATAATTTAAAAAATCGCATATTTTTTATATGTCAAGAAAAGTATAGTAGTATATAATACAATCATTCTGCATTCTGCCACATTTTTTCTATGCATGCTCCTTACGACAATTATAAGCTCCAAATGCAACAGAACAAAGTTATGAGAATTTTGTTAAAAAAATTGTACTAGAGGTACCTCTATTGAGGATATGTTGAAATCATTAAATTGGCTGAGTAGTGATGAGCGAAGCTGGTCTTGGTCTTGGTCTTGCATTTTTGCAAGAACAACAACAAGACCAAGACGAACGTTAAACCTTGCGGTCTTGCGTTTTTCTGTACATTTTTTATTAACTCGTATATTAACCATTTTAGAACGAGCAAATCTACATAATATAAAATGTTAATGTTTATCTGTGTCATCTCTACTGAAGTAACGAATTGCTCTAGAAAGTTGCTTTTTTTTACTAAAAGATAGCTAATTGGCTCTTCTAAAAACTGTCGTCGCCGGATTTTTTGTTTTTCATTTAATTAAAAAAAAGTATTTTTTCCCTGATGTCGTGGCGGATGCGCCATGCTTCAACTATCTACATATATAAAATGCTAATATTTATCTGTGTCGTCTCTACTGAAGTAACGACTTGCTCTAGAAAGTTGCTTCTTTTACTAAAATATAGCTAATTGGCTCTTCTAAAAACTGTCGTCGCCGGATTTTTTGTTTTTCATTTAATTAAAAAAAAAAGTATTTTTTCCCTGATGTCGTGGCGGATGCGCCAGGCTTCAACTATCTACATATATAAAATGCTAATGTTTATCTGTGTCGTCTCTACTGAAGTAACGACATGCTCTAGAAAGTTGCTTCTTTTACTAAAATATAGCTAATTGGCTCTTCTAAAAAATGTCG